GTTTTTATTTCCAAAGACCTACAGCCTCCGTTATTTATTACTAAGGGAAGAAAATGTTGGCAAAAAGTATTTCCAGGGACCACAAGATTAGCTCATCCATGCGGATACAAACCACACAACCTTTTAGACTACTACAGCTTGGAAGATTAACGTTATACATAACGAAGAAACAGGAACATGGGTTAAGCAGAAAACATGAGAGGTCCTCAACAAATTACTACCTTGAGCACTGCCACTAACCCTGTTCTTCTTCCCCCAAACCTCCAGAGTACCCAGAGCATGACTGATTCTTGGGTCTGATTTCTGAATGGGGATGGACTGAAATGACAATTAGCAATGCAGTTACAACAGTCCAAACAACAGAAATACATCAATTTCTAGTGCTGATGAGATGCTCGAGAGATAGGAGACAAAAAAGCAAATTGAAAAAATTTTCATTTTTCTCAAAGTTCTTCAACAGTCTCCTGATGGAATCCAAGGCCTAGATAGATGTCTACAATTACTGTTAATCAAGACCTGTAGCAATCTCTGTTGCATCTGTGTGTAACACTGTATTAAGCCATTGTGTGTACATTACACAGTGTGATAGCTAGTGACTAGTACAATATTCAGAAATGAGACACATGAAGCCCATAATTATAAACAGGAAATGAAAAGGATGAGAGATAGAGTACAAAAAAGCATACAAAGATGAGGAAAGAAAAGAAGGACACAAAAGGAAAAATGGGTATCATTTATAAAAATACAACAATAAAAGGTTTTTAAGTGAAAATGAAAAAAAAAAAGACACAACAGAAAATACTAAATACATTCTGTATTTATAGTGTACACCTTCACCAACTGTAGTATTTATTTAAATAAAACATTCTACATAATGGCAGCAGTGTGCAGTATGTCATAAAACAAGATTCACCGGTGAGAAACATTAGAGCTAGGTATTTGCCTCTGAGAAGTAACTTGCTCTCCTTCCTCTAGTACTGAAAATAGGATAACGATTGAGAAAGATGAAACAGAAGTATGGTGTATCTGTTGTTCATCCTGCATTCTTATTAAGATCAGAATCTTCACTACAAGCAAATGAGAACCTGAAACAGCAGTGACTTACCATGATCCGCAGGTTTTGTATGACACGAGTTACAAGTTGTTTAAACCAGCCCACATTACATTTGGGTTATGTGCATGAGCATATATATACACATATATACATACACTGATCTAACTGATACATGCTACACAATTAAGCAGGAGTCAAATGTGTTTCCTATTAAACAAATGTGGGTGGTCTCCTTCTCAAGCACTACCGTGTCAATGAATTTTCTAAAGCTTTATTTCATTTCAGCAGCCCTCTAAAGACATGTAGCTGTGTTTGACTCTCGTAGCAAAGTGTATTAACATCGCCTGCAACTAGTACAGTAGAAAAGTGGCCCCATCTTTACTGGGAGCAATATTATGACACAACAGAAACACCAGTTATTCATTACCAATTTCTTTCTATTCTACATTATTAATTGCATCTTAAAAAGCATTGTGCCATTTGAAACAGAATATACATCATTTACCGTATAGCTAAAAGTCAGACTTTAGCATAAGGTATTTTCAGGTAATACTTTTTTACCCATGCTATTTAAACAATAGCGATGAATTCTGGATGAAACAAACGTTAACTCATTTAACTGATGTTGCCTTGTTTTCATTTAGATTATTTTAAAAAAGAACTATTGATATTTTTACAAACTTCAGAAATCCCCCCTCAATTTTTTCCAAGACACCATGCAACATCATCCTTTGTGCTATCAAGTTTCTTATAAATGTGAAATTCTGAATTTGGAAATCTGGTTTTTCAAACTCAGTAGTGGAGACTGATATAAAAACTCAAGAGACCTAAAGCTGTATTTTCTGTTACACAAAGAAAATTACAACTGTGGATATTCTTATATCATATTTCACCAGAAAATGTCTACATTTTTAGTAGGACTGAAGTAATGAGCTACTTAATGACATATAGTGTGTTTAAGTCATTTTGGTTTCTTGCCCAAAAAATTCTCCTCAATACCACTGCCACTCCACAAGCAAATTTATACCACAAGTGAATATTTATATTTCCAAAGATAAACTTTCATCTCTCTTGCGGTAAACCTAATTCACTATATCAAGATTTTTAATAAAAATACATCTCTTTATTTTTGATACTTTCTGCGTATTATACAAAATATTCTCTCTATTAAATGCAGATTTAGTTGGTATTTTCAAGAAAGGAAGGAATCTTCCCACTGACAAACTTTAAGAAACTTGAAACAAAAGGAAAAATAAAATCCTTTATATTGGCTTGAGCTTTTCTAGCTATGATTGGCAAATGAAAGGCTGATGACATTAAATTTTTCATTTAAGTTTAAAATAATGCATCAAAGTATTACTGCTCCCAGCAGAAGCAAACCACATTGGTAGGACAACCGCCTAACTTCATTCCCATGCCAGCACTGCACCCAGGTTCTGATAGCTTTTATGGAACAACACTTCACTGATAAACAGCTGAAAGCAAAGTAGCTATGGCACAGCAGAGCTCTTCCCAGTACCTCACTCACAAATACTAGGGATCAAATCGTGGCACAGCTGACCTCAAGAGGGGTTCAGCCATTGGAATGAACATGGCCAGAAATCTCATCTTCAAAAGCTATGAGGCATCCATCTGCTCACTCACATCATAGTGAATTCATGAAAAGGTTACTGAAATCAAATTTAATTTCAACTTGATTATTGGCACTGATGACATATTAAGTTATTACATGAAATCATCATTTCTGGACCCATTACTATTAAATTTGTTGCATCTCAAAGTTTACATGCATTTTCTTAATTTGTTGCCACAAGTTTCTTTGTCATTGCCAATAACCATTAACATTTAGGTACCCAAAGAAAGTAAATTCTGGTCAGATTCACACAGAGTGTATTTTTTCCAGGCACATACACCACCCCCAGTTTCTAAAGGACTAGCTCCCAAAAGAAAGCAACTCACTAGCCAACATGAAGAAATAAAGATATTTTTCAGATACCTGGATCCCAAACCTTCTGAACTGTGCTTATGACACCAAAGATACAGACACTGGTTTCTGTGCCCAGCCCATCATTCCGAGTTCTGCTGCTTCTGATCCACTGCTGTTACATTTCTGCCACTGCAGACCTTTTCCAACTGCAGGGATCACTTCTCTATTCCCATTTCTTCATGGTTAGAATGCCTCATATAAATGACATAATCCCTAGCTTGAGCATTCAGTCACATGCGCACATTCCTTCCCCACACTCACATCTTCAAAAGCTTGTTCTTCCCACCCAGTTATAAACTCCCTCATTTGATTTGTGCACACAGATTTAAGTGACTGGGAAAAGGGCTGATAGCAATGTGCTTTAATATTGGAACGAGATTCATTTCTTCATGTTTCTAAAAACTACTGTCAAGCAAAATCTAAGTTTTAAAAACCACAATGGAACAAGGTCGTTTATATTGCAATGGATAGATAAACAGGCTTTGGAGTTCACAATTCCTTGAATCGCAATCTCCCTTAAGCATACACATTTAACATGTTTGAGTAGATGCCTAAAGTCTTCTGTTTCAGGTAGGTAATGAGACAAAAATTGGCCTGATGCAGCAAATCGAAGGGGTTAGATTCGCCTATCTTTTTCTATTATTAGGAACAAAATCAGGTCAACAGAACTGTATTTCCTCAGTTCCATTCAGTATAAAGAAAGCACAGCAGTCAACTATTCTTCTCGATTTTTTCCATGTAACTAACATTGCCCTAACAGAAGCATAAAAACATCAAATTCTTCAAACACCAGTCAAAGCAAGCTCTCTTTGGCTGTGTTCTTAAGCCTTAACTAGCATTTCAAATTGGCAATTGCATGCAAAACACTCCAGTATAACAAATCATTCCCACTCTACTAATTCATTGGTGACCTACATAAGATGCGACTATAAAGAATCTTTTCACAGTGAGATCAACTGGTATATTAAAAACTAGCTCAGTTAGTGAAGTTGGTAACTTTTAGGCTCTTGATTCCACACTAACATTTGAATACATTTCCACTTTACATGCATAGCAAAGGTATCACATGAGAGCTGTAACGCTTGCGCCAGATGCCTTCACCTGCCTCCTTTACCAGAAAATATTTACACCATAGCTCATGGAACACTTGGCTGTCTCCAATGTATCCACACAGTAATCCTCTACCAGAAGTCACTGTATCAAGGCATGATCCCTATGTCCAGATGATTCTTCACTCAAAACTAGTGGCTACTATATTCTACATGTACAAGATGCATACGTCCAGATTCTTCTTTTTACTAAAAACTAGTGGCTATGCCTGCTATATTCCATACTCAAAAAACATGATTACTTTGAAATAGACAAAAAAATGCATCTTCAATATAAGAAGTATCTGTTCATTAATACCTAATAGGTTTAATAACCAAAAACCCCATGTACACTGGAGCAGACCAAACAACATTTGCATCATATGCATTTCTGTTATGAATCCAGACACTTTATGATACTTAATCCCTGCTTTACAACAGACTGCAAATTTCTTCTCCGTGTAAGCAAGTCTTCTGAAATAATACACAAAAATGGGAAGCAAAAACTTAAGACCATACTGTTTTAGACACTTGAATAATATTTAAATTTGTGTTATTTGTTTCATTATTTGTTCCATTACCTGAGAAAGTATTATTTATCCCATTTTTACTACACTTGGTGTGCTCATAGCTGGTAGCTGCAAAGAAATTCCAATTCAGATCACAAGATTGAGGAATCTCTGGTGAATACCCACAACAAAACAAATTAAACCAGCCCATTAGGATTCCTTCACAAACAAAGGCTAACAAAACATCTGTCTGACAACAATAACACATACCCCATTCTTCCATAACTTAGTTTTAATTGTAAGCAGACTGTTTCTGACTCATTAACAGAGGATAAATTCAAAGGTTTCAGTATCATACTCACAGCGAATCCCATAAATCATGAGAGGATCAAGTTGCTTCTTCCCATGCTTCCCCTGGCCTGAGAGGTTGGAAATGGCCTGAATTTCCCGATGGAAGAGATAATCAAGCAAAGTCAACGCCATCTTCTCGGCTGTACGGCAGTTCGTGCTGATATGCAGCATGTCAGCAGGCGTGATGGGGCAACGCACCCGCATCTCAGGGTTATTTTCATCTCCAAGCCATGTCCCATTGGGGTAATCCTCTAAAAACAGAGATTGTGCAAATTCTAATGTGGCACAGAATGAAACAGGCAAGCTCAAGTTACAGTCAGCATTTCTTAAGTTATCATGAGGAATTCCAGTTTTCTTCATAGTCTCCATGAGCCTCTTTAAAATTTAGCATGACTAATAGGATCACAAGATTGGCTACAGAGACCCTCAAATTCCCACCAATGGTGACCAGAATTGTTGCCAGTTGCTCTGGCCTACATGGTGCAATTAGGCAGATGTCTAACTCGCTCTCATATTCATTTTAAAGTGTGTCTTACTAGAGGCCAGCAGCTGCAAGAACACACTCTACTCACAGCATTCTCATTCATCAAGTTAGTCATCCTCTAAAAATGAAGATTACTGCAACTCCATAATATTCTTCAAGTACAGCTAACCTCAGCAATCTAGAACCTTTGAACTACATTTTCCCCCAAAAGCATCAGATCAAAATAAGTCTAAGCCAGATGATAAATTTAAGAATTTAACTGATAGTCAATAATGAGCAGTACCTCATTTAATGAGTTTAAAATAGTATTTCAAGCAATCATTCAAATGTAGCCAGAGAGCCAGATCAAAACTATGGTCTGTCTTCAAATTTACTGGCCAGTAATTTATATTATTTCCTGAACAACCAGTTTACCAAGGAAGAGGGCCCAGCACAAAGATAACAGATCAATCACTAATCATCTGCCAAGTGTATCTTCTATTCAAGCACTTGGTTACTAGCAGCAGAATTATCCCCAACTTCTCTTGTGCATAAACACACACATTTATATATAAATAGCTTTTTTGATTTCTGTCCCCCCCCAGCCTCTCAGTTTGGCAGGAAAAAGAACCATTCTTTTTAAGAAGAATACTAAGCCCTCAGCTGAAATCAATTCTTGCTTATAATGCCAAAAGTTGGTGCCTTCCAGACTAACCAGAAACTAGAACTGGAGTTCATAAGGATGACCAGTCGCTACGGAAGTGATGGATCCAACACAGGACCTGGGATGAGACTCTCATTCCAGATAAAAAACAGAATTCCCAGTACAAATCTTGACAATGCTACAGGAACTGGATAGAACAACATTCCACTCCTATTTCAATGCTCACTGATGCAGACCATTTGGATTTGATTTCTATGTTTGCTCAACTTTGTGGAGTAAAACAAAGCTTCCTGACAGGAGTCACTTGGTCCTCTCACACTAGAGCTTTATCATGTTTCATTGTTGCTTCACACACCTTCAGAATGGTAAAAATGCAAAAAAGTAAATCAACTACATGGTTTATCTTCCAATAAATGCCTTTAAAGAAGAGTTTCATGGTATATACAGAGTCACAAATCCTTGTTTTCCATAACCCTTCTAGTCACGAAATGGGGCGACAGAGTTCAGACAGATGAGCATATCCTTTGCACATTTAACATGACCTTCCGCAAGCAGCATCTTTATTTCCAAGTACTGGCACAGGTTAAGCAGCCTGCATTTCACCAGAGTACAAGCCAAGAGTATGCAATAAAACATAACATAAAAGCAACTAAAACACTAAAAAACACTTTTCAACATGACCTTTGGATTGAGTCATACCACATGTCAGATGTAAGTTTACTACAAAGATTAAAAACAGTATGAAGCAAATGTTAGATTACGCAATCCTGATATCATTATAAATACCAGATTATCAACTACAATAATTTGTAAGGAAATATATTTATTGCTGATGAATGTGGCAGCTAGTCCCTCAAACTTTTCTGTTGCAATCAGAACTTAATGCTCTGTTCAGAATATATTTTTATACACTTGCAATTTTTAAATACATATTTTATTTGAACCTTTTCATCCTGAACTAGATAACAGGGCACACTGGCTGTTTTCTGCTCACAGCACCAGGTGCCATCTGAAAAATAAGGTGGTTTGGATTAATTATGACTTGTTTGGAATGCCACTGTGTCTGGCCTCACCACAAGTCTGGTTAACATTATCAGGGAAAACAACAGTCTGTTCTTGAAGATAAATTGACTGTTTTATAAAAATCTGGGAAGAGCTGTCAAAGCAAAAATATCTTGACATAAATGTGGAAGTTTGGCAAAGAAATTCTAGGAAGTCTGAGTAAATGATTCTATATCCTAGCAAAACCTTACTTCCTCACAGTTCACAGCTACTATCAGATGTAAGAGCCGTTACTACTTACGGACCACCTCTGACTTGCAGGCTTGTTTAACAAATGCTATCAACCTATACGAACTATAAAGATTCTTTTCACTTTGCTAAATAACAAGTTTTTTTCCCCCTCCTCTTCACTGGCATGCAGTTCAGAACATACTGTTTCTGCTACATGAAACTGTTCTTTTATTGCTAACAGCCTGGAAAAAAAGACACTATCTTGTTATTCTGACCTATGAAGACAAGCCCCACATTAAATTATCTCTTGCATTTTCCTCCTGTTCTAAAAGCTTCAACAGAAAGGGAATCTGCTTTATAATCATCTTGCATGAAGTGGAACTTGCATGACTAAAGTTAACTCTGACTCTGTTTTGTTGCAGCTACTTGAGGGCACAAAAGCTAAACTATTCCTTACCGCATATAAGAATAATTCCTACCATCCTGCCAATATACCTAGCACTCTGCATAGAGCAAATACCATGAGAATGGCACACCAGAAACCTGGTGAAAAGAGGAAATACAGTGCTAGTTATGACTAAGGCAGAACTGCTCTGAACAAGTGGTCCAGGAGAAAGACTGAGTAAGGAGACAGAAAGACTGAGAATTTGATGGAAGTTCTCTCTGAATAATTAAGTACGTTAACACTATTGATTAAAGCTTCATCATTTAAGTTCCGTGCACTCAAACAGCCTCTTATTACATGTATTGTCAGGCATTATACATTATATCTAGATAGAACCTAGATGAGTTGGGTTATTTAGGACATACATTGTAATAGCCAGACACAGAGTCACAACTCTACTAGGCACTGCACAACCACACACAGCTTCTTCTATTCTTAAACGCTACCAAAACACAACCACCATGTGAAGCACTGGGGAGGAAGAATGCAGCTGAAGAACACACTTACAAACAATGAAGCATAATGCACATGCTCACCTGTAACTCAGTTAATCACACACCTTTCTTGTTTAGCCCTGCAGTATTTTTCTTTAATTGATTTTCCTAATGGCCTTGCTGCATTTTGAGTGCTATGTGGAAAGGTACTTCTTTGCCTTTCTTTACACCTAATATTATATCATCAGAGAAGTGGCTCTTGATAATTTCTACTTCCCTGTTACAAGTCCTGACATTTTTATCTAATTTCTTCTCTCTATGCAGAAGCTCACTTTAATGACAGATTAGTGGGGTTTTTTTTAAGGTCAGAAAATTTGCCTTTATCTCCATTCTCCCAAATCCAGAAGTAGTCCACCTTTCAATGCTGTTTTCAAATCTTTTTTACTGTATTAAGTCCATTTCTTTTATCTCACCACACAGCTGACCATTCCTCTGCTTCAGCAGGGACACATGAGAGGAGAGGTGGCTGGGCTGCTATGCAAACAAGCCTTTCTATGGAAGCTTGAAGGGTAGTATCAAGAAAAACTATGTCAAGAGAACAAAAACTAGACAAGAGCTGCCACGGCTTTCAGACTCACTCTGGACATGTACATGTTTTCCTGACCAGGGGGATGACAGACACATGACTGCATGACTGTTACATTTTTCCATTGGGATACACTCCCTAGTCTGACATGTGAGCATTAACTGTAAGACAGAAGGAAAGCCAGGCTCTGCTCTCTCAATAGGTGCTATTAGTCACTCCTTTAAGAAGGGAGAACAAAAGGAAACACCTGCCCATATAAACACTTGAATTAACAATCTGCATTATTCCAAGTAGTCTATTTTACTAACAAGGCTGAGGGCAAATCTGGCATTTGCAGCAGAGAAAAACAACATAGCTAGAACAATGGCAGAAAGGTGACTCACCCTTAAAAACAAAGAAAAAAACCCATCCCAAACCCCCCAAATCCTAGCCTACAAAAATAAACACCCATTTCTAGAAAAATTAAACAATATTTTGGCTGATGTGTAGAAGATTTACCATCATCTTTTTAAATAAACGCCTGTCAATTACCCAGAGCCCTTTGCCCCTGCAGAGGTTTACAGGGGTAGTGACTGAGACTACAGACCGCTGACTTCATTAACTGACCATCATCAAACATAAGGAACAGAGTAATAACCACGCTGTATGTTAACCTACAAATCTAGCAACGTGATTTAAAGCTGGTGCTAAAACTGATTCAAGAACTAGTTTAAAGCCATGTTCAACAAAACCTTTTCCCACTGTAAAAAGCAGTTAAGGAGTCCTGGCCAAAGGAAGCTTACAACATCCACACACATATCCATGAACATTAGACACTGACACAGAACTGGAGTTTTTTGCCTGACTATTCTGAAGGGAGAAAAAGGTTTAATTTGCAATATATTAAATAAAAAGAGACAGCCTGAAGAACTTCATGCTCCAGCTATAATCTTCCATACAGCACAAAGGATTTGGCTAACAGAGACACAGTTCCAGTTAACTTCTAAGCCCCTGTGGTTAGGGGACCATCACGCTATCCAAGATACTTTGAATACATATCCTGCACTCATGGTTTCTTCAGCTGTCTGACGGACAACACACGGGGCAAAGAGCCATACGTGGGCACGCAGTACCAAAGCAAACTTGTCTTGGCAAATACTATGGTGTGCATAGAAGTCTCAGCATGACATAAGTGAGATTCCTTGCTTGTTAAAAATAAGGCTTCAGCTTCTGTACGTGGTTAAATCCATGAGATAAAAAGACACTTATTTTATGACTCATGAAAGGCCAAGGAATTTATTCAACAGAGTAGAAAATGAGGACTATGTGAATATCTGTAATTTAAAATGATCTGCCAAAAAAAAAAAAATCAGATAAAGTTGAGAAAATTAGAGTATGTGGACTTTTAAAACCCTTAGGAAAGGTGTTTCATGTCAGAAAACACCAG